GCGGACAGCAGGCAAAACCCACACAAACACGCAGAGAGCAGGCAAAACCCACACAAACACGCAGAGAGCAGGCAAAACCCACACAAACACGCGGACAGCAGGCAAAATCTACACAAACACACGGAGAGCAGGCAAAGCCCATACAAACACACAGAGAGCAGGCAAAATCCACACAAACACGCAGAGAGCAGGCAAAATCCACACAAACACGCAGAGAGCAGGCAAAACCCACACAAACACGCAGAGAGCAGGCAAAATCTACACAAACACACGGAGAGCAGGCAAAATCCACGTAGAAAGGCCCACTGGCCATTCAACCCAGGAATCAAACCCAGGACCTTCTTGCTGTGAGGCGGCAGCGCAAAATACTGTGCCACCATGCTTCCCACGAATATTAATATATTTACAAAAATCATCACTTGTATTTAGCCATATATTTAGTCAGTTATGTTCACTTTCTTACAGATGCATCTCCAAATGCGAGTACCAGGCTTACAATGACAAGGTCTCCAAAATCAATGGGCTTAAACAACCGGCAACCTTCAACCTTCTTCTAATTTCATGAAAAATGCATTAATCCATATGAGGTTGGAACTTCATTGCTCTCAAAGACCCCACCTTAACCCTCATGTGTCAGAGTCAGTCTGACAGATAAGTCAGCAGAGGCTCTAAACACCAAAACTACACAGACTGGTCTGGTGTTACCTTTGTTTTTGCTGTGTACACGAAAACAAACCTGTTCAAACCTGAGCAAATGATTCATGTTGTTTTAAAAGGCTTTTAAAAAGATGTTTCTAAAAAGTAGTCCGTAAACAACTCTGTTGAATTGTTGCTTAGAAATTAAAAAAGCTTTGAATTTTTGAAGATTCTGTGAATTTTGACAATTTGAATTTTGTAATTAAAAACAGCATATTTAATAATAATAATAATAATAATCTGTTTGGGGAATAAAATGCTTTATAGATTTTATTTGGTAAATATTAACTGCTAAAAAACAGTAAAAAGTACAAAAGTACAGTAATATCCTGCATAACTGATTATAGCAAAGTACAGTAATTTTTATATACAGTAAAATCCTGTAATTAAAAAGCGAATCTCCTGCCAGTATTTTACTATAATTTTACATGCTTTTTTTTTACAGTGTAGATAAAACTGCAGCTGTCTGTAGATGTTACTTTGAGCATCTTGTGGTAACACATTGAATATGAGTGCTCTTTTATGCCGAAATCACCCTGATTTGACAGTACAGTAGATGCTATAGCCAGAAGAGAACAGCTCCTGCACCGAAACAGCCACTTTTAAACTTGTAAGATAAGCAGATAATCCACACTTGGTGTTTTTTAGGTACTACAGGTTACTACAGGTTGTACAAACATCTTTTTTAAACGACAAGGCTTATGTGATTCGATAAATTGTTCAGTTTTTCTTGTGCTTTAACTGGTTTGTTTCCTTGATTGAAAGACTCATCCACCTATTTGACATTAACATCAGTGGCACATGAATGATTTTGTGAGACTGATGGAGCACCATGCCATAAGGCAAAAGTGGAAACTCCCCAGACCTTAATTCCATTGAGAACTTGTGGTCAATCCACAAGAAGCAGCTGGACAAACAAAAATCCACAAATTCTGACAAACTCAATGCATTGATTATGCAACAATGGGTTGCCATCAATCAGGATTTGTCACAGAAGTTGATTGACAGCATGCCAGGGCGAATTGCAGAGGTCTTGAAAAGGAGGGCCAACACTGCAATCATTGCCCTTAGTGTAATTGTCAATAAAAGCTTTTGACGCTTGTGAAATGCTTGTAATTACTGAAGCAGCAAACTTTGTGAAAACCAATACTTGTGTCATTCTCAAAACTTTTGGCCACGACTGTAGTGAGTGAATCAGTATTTAGCTCTCGTGTCTATGAGTATTTCCTCTCACGCATACAGCGCATCCGGCGCCACCAGGACCGACCCATGGCATGGGCAATATAAGCACATGCTAGGGGCGCCGTTCATTAAAAGGTGAAGCTTAGGCAGCCCAAAGGGTAGAAACGGAAAGAGGAAGAAAATTTGCATTTTTATTTTACTCTGTTTATCTACACCATTATTTCAAAATAATAAAAAAAAGCTTATTAAATAAGCAGATCTTATTCAATAAACAACTTTTTTCGGTTTGCCCAGCACCCTACTCCCCTCCATATCATGCACTGTCGGCGTCTTTAAGTTACTCTGATAGTGCATCATATAATTAACAGTATCTAATTAAAAAAGACATTACCATGTCAAAAAGGCCAAAGCCCTCCAGTGCCCAGCGAAGGAAAAGAAGAAGAGAAATAAAAATGGGAAAAAGTCAGAAGTAATAATCACTAATGACAATAATTACTGTCTGTGGTTTGTGGATCAGTGTGACTAGCTAGCTTGCTAGTAACACTAACAATTGCTACTTTAATACATAACTATAATTAACATCAGCTACTCCCTATGTAAATTCATTAGGGAAAGCTGGAAATACTTTTCAGGAGTTTGAGTATGGGGAATAACCTGCATGATTTTCAGAAATACACTTTTTCGTTTGTGTTGCTGCACCTGCACGATCCACCCACTGTGTCTGTCTCAAGACAACAATTTTTTTCAGATCCAGCATTCTCTGTTGGGGACAACTTACTCTTCAAAAGAGCAAGTTGAGGGAGGCGTAAAAACAATTTCCCCATGGGGATCAATAAAGTATCTATATATATAATCTGGGTGTAAAGGAGTTCCAAATGTCACTTCTTTTACACTGGGGTTCCAAATCCCTAAGGTTCCAAACTTTATTGTACCATATTGTATACCCCAGTCTTACATAAGTTCCCAGGATCTATTAGCTAACCCTATCCTTCATCCTAGGATGGCACCACTGACCAGTCATGCAATGGTACAGTAACCCAGGAAATGGCTGTAGCATAATGGCTCACATTATCCAAAGTATAAACACTCTCCAGGGTTAAGTTCCAATAAACCTATCGTAAGGTGAAAATGAATTTTAATTTAGTACACCTAGCCCAGGGTGTCAAACTCCAGTCCTGGGGGGCAGGAGCCCTGCACAGTTTTTGGTTTCCCCTCATTTAACACACCTGATTCAACTCCTTGTGCTAATTACAACACAGCTCTTGAGCTGAATCATTTGTGGTAGAATAGGACAGAACTAAGCTACACAGGTGTCCGGCCCCCCAGGGCTGGAGTTTGACACCCCTAACCTAACCTAAGAAATATCATAGCCTAGCCTTTAGCCTGCTTTGCTCAGAACACTCAAATTAGCCTACAGTTGGGCAAAATCATTAACACAAAGCCTGTTTTATGATGAAATGTTGAATATTTCATGTAATTTATTGAATAATGTACTGAAAGTGAAAAACAGTATGGAATTGGAATACCCATCATAAAGTCAAAATATCATAACACGGACCATCATAACCCACAGATCATCTGTATTGGACTGCTGATAGAGTGTCATTCACTTAAAAGAAGTTGTCCCATCACTTGTCAATAGAAGCATTCACACTAATAGCAGATGGGTTGCCTAACTAGGGGACGTGTCCCCCTGGGAACCAGAATTTCCTCCTGGGATCAATAAAGTCAATCTTTATCTTAAGCTTAAGTTCACAAAAGGTTTTCTCTTACCTTGTCCTATGTACACTCAGTGCACCCAGCAGTGTCGTTGGTTGTTGAGTCTCTCACGAGCCACCAGATTCTGGGATCCTGTTTGTGACGTTGACATTAAATTACTTCTTCATAGTCTTCTATCTGATTGAGAAACTAAGGGCTATATTGTACTAGTAGACATGAAAGTGCTTTTTGATGCACTGTTTTGTTGCATGTATTCTCTCATTGGTAGGGTAGTCACACCCACAGCTCTTAAACCTAAAAAAAAGAGGTGCAGTTGTACCAGTGTAATTCACCATGTGAGAAAATGACACAGTGATTTTGGCAACAAAACTAATGAGGAACATGGACTTATTAATTTTAGCCTCCTTTTTATTTGCCTTATATACAAAATACAATGAGATTGTTTTGCTTGTGGCACAAGTACACAGATCATACATACTGCCAAGACAAAAAAATACACAAATACACAAAACAATAAGAATAAAAAAGAGTGATATAGATTATAAGAAAATGTGCCCTTGATAAACAAATAAACATGTAGGCATATAAATAAATAACGGGCAGATGACAAGATGTGGGGTACAGACAGTTTGGGGTATGTGCACATTTACAGTGTGAATCGAGTTAAAATCCATAGAAATCCTTTTATTTTGAAAAAGAAAACATGGTGGGAAAGCCTACTATGCATATACTAGTCATTCAGAAAGAATGTTACAATGAAATACCATTTTGTTGTTTGGTGTAATTGAGAATGATTTAATGTTGCAGCTGCTGTGGGGGAGCTAGTCTATTTACACTGGGTGCTTTATTTTAACCCCTTCAGTAGATGTCGCCAAGCCAGAGACACTGTGTGGAGGAAGACAGTGCTCTTTTAATGTCTTTAAAAAGACAGTAGAGATTAATACCTCCACCTTTCTACTGTCTAGTCCAGGGGTGGGCAATCTTATTTATCCACAAAGGGCCGGTGTGTATGCAGCTTTTTGGGATAACCTTTAGGTCAGCTGTTCAAACCCAGGTGTGAGGACTCTTCAGCCAATCAGTCCTCTAATTAGTAATCTAATGAGGGAGTTGCAGCGAAAACCCGCAAACACACCGGCCCTTTGTGGATAAGATTGGCCACCCCTGGTCTAGTCCCAGACTAGGCCCCTCATACGTCTTGTACATCCTAGTCTGCTCATGATGGGACACCTCTTAGGTGGGCAGTTGGCCACACAAGATGAGAGGACGGGGGCCAGTGTTCACACCAAATCTTTGTTTATTACAGAAATAAATGGTAATATAATAAAACTGATTAACAACAGAGGCAAAAATTTTAGACAATTTAGACAATGAAGTTATATGATTATAGTCTAATTTTACATATTAAAGAAACTAAAATATTAAACAAAAATTTAAATATTACGGTAATGAGTATGTGAGAATGACCAATATTGTGTTATCCAAAAGCACAATCTTCCTTTTTGTACGGTGGCCGAGAGAGCTCAACGCGCTGCAACTCCAAGAAAACACATGCAAACATAAAAAAAACCACAACAAATTAAGAAAACGTCTCCATCAGTTTGACAACACAGGCGCTGCAAATACGGAAACGCGCTGCAAACACAAAAAAAGCGCTGCAAACACAAAAAAAGCGCTGCAAACACAAAAAAAGCGATGCAAACACAAAAAACGCGATGCAAACACAAAAAACGCGCTGCAAACACAAAAAAAGCGATGCAAACACAAAAAACGCGCTGCAAATAGCAGGGACCACAACGGAAATGTTTCAGGGGGACCTCAAAAAGTGACGAACCCATCTGGGAGCTCAGCTGACTATTTGTTCAGTGGCTTTTGGACAGAGCGGAGGTTTTGTCCGTGAACTGAAAGGTGGGTTTTTTTTTTGTTTATTTTAACATCCCGATCATACCATTAATTGGTCTATTGGACATTATTAGACTAATCTGACGAATCACACACATAACTGTGGAACGTTATTTTAATGCTATGTTAGCTAGAGTTACTCTGAGAAAAACTGTAGGCAACAAGCAAGTAAAACTAACCCCTGTTTTTTTTTTTTCCTGACATCTGCATTTTTAACTCTTCTGTGAAAATGTATATATTACAGGCATTTACTAGTTACAAGTTATATATTTTAGCACTAAACAGTCACAAACATTTCCTCCGCCAGGCTATGTATTGTCCATATTGTGGACACGATTTACCTGGACATGTTGGACGCTTTTGTGGCACCTGTGGTATCAGCATTCAATTTTTGGCACCTTTTCTACAGAATGGTATGTATATGTATGTATATATATATATATATATATGTATGTATATATATGTGTATATGTATGTATATATATGTGTATATATATGTGTATGTATATATATGTGTATGTATATATATGTGTATATATATGTGTATGTATATGTGTATGTATATATATGTGTATGTATATATATGTGTATGTGTATATATATGTGTATGTATATATATGTGTATATATATATGTATGTATGTATATGTATGTGTATGTATATTAGGGATGGCGAAAACTAAAAAATTTCTTGACCGACCACCGAGCCTCAGTAGCCGGTTGAAACCGGTTAACCGATTAGTTTAAAATATGGTACGCTATTTGAAATAACAGCCATTT